GGGGGGGGGGATGTTAAGATGCCAAGAAAATCATCTTTGAGTCGACTTCTCTTTCACAATGTTGTACCTGTGATCAGTGACAAGGAAATTAGGACTTGTCTGGCTTCACTGGTGTCTGAACCTTCAGCATTGACGTTCCTAGTCGGCCGTTTGCCTCTAATTAAACGGAAAAATTTAACCATACATCTTCCGTCGAATTTCCAGACAATCAGCTAAAGTAGGTTACTTTTTGACCTGGCTCTTTGTGCCGTGTCGCTCTTTGCTGAATTGTTGTATGTGGCTCAGTTAAAGTTGGTATGCTAGTGTGTCTGTGAAAACGTGTGTGTGTGTGTGTGTGTGTGTGTGTGTGTGCGCGCGCGCGTGTGTGCGTGTGTGTGTTTATATGTGTGTGCATGTGTGTGTGTGTGTGTGTGTGTGTGTGTGCGTGTGTGGAAAGGGGGGGGGGATTGTGTGCAAACAGTTGGGCACGAGAAATTATATCTTTGTTTGAATGTAAAAGAGGTCAATATTCTGTTTTTTTCTGTCGGTGAGATTGAACTATATTGTCATTTAGTCTTGCTTCTGTGAGTATAGACGTCAGCTGTAGCATAGTGCTTTGGGTCTTGACCACGCACGCTAAGAGACGTGTCTTCGACTCGCTCGCATGGAAAACATACATTAATCTTTTTTAGTATTTCTATTAATCTATATGTTTGGATCTACCCCATACAGATCCCACTGGCTTAGCATGCAGGATAAAAACAGTCGTTTAAATGCTGGTCTGGTAATTTTTGTGGGTGGTTTGGATCACTTGCGTAGTGGTAGGTGTTATTTTATCCACTTCTTGAATAAACATGTGAGTAGACAGTACGAAAATTTTAGCCACCTGAAGGTGGCAAAAGTGGACGCTGGCTATAAAAAGGGCTATAAGCTCTGATCTAAGTTCTCTCGATGACGACGCAAACGCTTCACAAATACTGCAACACAATCTATCAGATTCAACTTGATATGTGCAACATCGACTTTTAGATGTTTACCCTCAACCGACAGCTTCATATAATCTACGTGACCGTGATCAAAGCTTGACAAATTCTTGTTGAGCTGTAATTTGCAATGCAGGAGTATTTTCATCAGAAAACGCCATTCAAAGGTATGCGCTTTTCTCAGCCTGTAACTAAACCTTATGAATGAAAATAAAAAAAAAAACCAAGTTTTCACATAGGATATAAAAGAGTGTAATAGCAGTAGAGAAACACGCGTATGGGCATTTAAAAATCTCTGTCTATGCCGTCTGTTGGCCGAGTTCTTGCTCATGGCTTTGTGGAAGAAAATAGCAAAATCAATGAGTCCGAGTAACCTGATACGTGAAAGGGGAAATGAATACTGGGTAAGGAAATGCTAGTAGTTGTTCAACACGAAATGGGTCGATAAAACACAAAAAAAGATTCCAGAACTGCTTTCTATAGGAAGATGCTGGCTTTTAATATTGAGTTAGGGTAATCACTTTTGTCCCTCTATGTGTCCACAGCATCCGTTAATGGGTCATGATCCGTAGTCGTCTGGTCCAATATTCAGTTATCAGCCTCAGCTGGCAATGGCAACACTGAAGTGCCACTGTGTTGCTTTGGTATCTTCTCCCTCCCCCCGCTTCTCTCCGTACCTCATATCAGGTTTTGGCTCTGAAGTCTGAGGTAAATAATGCCTGCGACAAATCAAATGCAAGATGAGTTCGGCGGAAATGGTAGCCTAAGGGCGATTGAGCCAAAATCGATCGTGTCATGAACTGTGTGCGCTCCTCATCTCGGCGCTTGGCCGAGGGTTTGGGAGAAATCGGTCAGTTCTGTTCCGAGAATTTCAGCAAGTGACACTTCTGAGCTGGCTGGGCTTGGGAATTCTATATCAGTGGCTGAATGCGGAAATGTAGAAACATATTGTTTTTTTTAGGAAGGGGTTAGAGGACAGGTTAGGTCGAGGGATTTTTCAATTTTCATTTTTTTCTTTCTTTTTTTTTCTTGGGGAGGGAAGTGTGGTGAGTAAATGAGCTTCTGTGTTTGTGTGTGTGTTTGTGTGTGTGTGTTTGTGTGTGTGTGTGTGTGTGTGTGTGTGTGTGTGTG